CACATTTTACATTCGAAGCCTCTAGCAAATTTTCACTCTTTGAATTGTAGAAGTTAATGTTGAAGAAAGAAAAGACCCACCAAATTTAAGATGGCTTGCGCCTCCTTCCTTAATATAGAAAAGTTGGCACGAGCTAGCTCAGACTGTTCCTTGTCAATCTGAAAACAAAAAAGAAAGGCAACCTTGATAAATGTTTTCTCCCAACAGCATAAAGTATAATAAACCTGGAAAGAAATACAAACAGTAACAGTTTCAGAAATTGCATGCCTTCTGAATATCCAGATCATGACTATCTTGTTCATCAAGCAATAAGAATTGTAAAACTGATGTTGGAACTTCTGGAGAAAGCAGATGCTGACAATACTGAAAGTAGCCGAGCAGCAGTGCGTATTGGCTAAATAATCAAAAAGATAAATGAAGGTCAACTAGCAACTAAAAAAGTCTGAGAAGTAAACAAAGCACCAAATTGTAGATAAAAATTCCATACCGCCTCCTCAAAGCTTCTGATGAATCATGTCTCAGAATTGCCATGATAAGCTTAAATAATATTGAGTGACAAGCACCATTTGACAATTGTTTTGCCGTGATAACCTCAAGACACGTGACACTATCAGAAACACTACTAGGGAATAGGAATCTTTCATCACGTAACTTGGCCATACATGTAAGTGCAACCTAGCAACATCATAGGTTAGATAAATACACAAGTTTTGTACAAATTGATCAATTATACCTGGCTTAATATTTCTTTATAAGAATACCTGGCTTAATACAAATGCCATTTTCAGAGAACAATCTGGAGAAGCAGAAGCAGTAAGAGAGGCATCAAGAATTCTGCAAACAAAAGAGTCACTGATTGTCAAAAAGGTTAAGAGAATTATACTGATGAATGATACTGATGTGGCAGGGAACCTACTGATATAAAATTTCTGATTGATTATCAAGAGTTGAAATTCTTCTGCAAGCAGAGATCTGTTGAACAGATTAATTGAGACCAGTAACAGAAGGTTAATGTAAGACAAGTATAAAGTATTTCTTCTCTACCCTAGAACCAAACAAGATGATCTCTCAACTGACATAATGAACTGTACTTATGAAAAGAAAAGTAATGGACCTCGACAATCTGTGACCATCCAGTTAACATGTGAAGTTGGGCAGCTTGCTCCTCAAGGTTCTTATTATACTTCCATCCCCATCTCAGTAATTGCTGAATTGTCTCTCTTACATCATTTAGCTCAGCTTCACTGCCTAAACTACTCATCTGGGGATAAACTAGATTGAATTTCTGAAACCACAAAACAACATAAGCACCAGATTCCTCCCCGAAAAGTTCACAAAAGAAGGTTCACCACAGAAATAAAGAACAAAGAATCAGTCTTATTGCTGAATCAACCTGCCACAGTTTGTCACCAAAGGAACCAAGATCAATGAGGCGATCTCCACGCTCAGAATAATAATAGATACCGCCCTTTCCAGCAGTATTTGCATTCCCAAGTATGTCCTCTGTCTATAAAGTAGAAATAATAAAATCAGAAAAAGAGACAGTATAAGGATGCAGAACTGATGGCTAGCATCTTACCAGCAAGTCATATTTCATATTAGAAACTATCTGAGAAAGCTTCAGGGAGGTATCAGGAGATCTGAACTGAAGAACTTCAAGCAATTCTAACACCTGAAATTCAACATCAAAATGAAAGTACCTGAAATTCAACTCTAACACTTGGGACAGACATTCAACCTCCAAGAACCTCAACAGAAACCAAACCCAAGATATAAATATTACAATGATAAATACAAATCGGCCCTTGGACAGTTGCTACTCTTCTGTAGAAGGAGTTTATGGAGCATGTTCCAAGACTTGCTAGAACCCCTTAGGGCCACCCGAAAAAACTCTAAACACATCTCGTATCATTCACATTTGACTTTTTAAGTAGTTTGTATTCGAATATTTTGAAGCATCAAATTGTAGAAGAATATAAAAGTTAATAATAGAGAACTTGTACACTTCTCAACATCTTAATTATTTGATCCTATAGAAAGAAGTAATCATTTAAGAGCATAAACAGTCAAAATATGAGAATCAATGTTCGGTAGAGAAACCATTACAAAACAAAGAATTTTGCACCATGATTCAGAGAGATAAAACTTGGAAGCCAATCTATGCTAGCAATAAGCAATTAAATGATTATAGAAGTTCAGAAGTTATTCATGATACCTTACTCTTGCTGATAGATCTGGTTCCAGCATGGTCCAAACTATATTGAAGATAGGAGTCCGAAACAATGTGATCGGTCTCAGTTTCAATGAAATCCCGCCCAAAAAGATGAGCAAGGATCATCTGACATGCCTCTCTGTGAGTGGCACTACTTGTATAACCAGCATGCAACTCAATAGCTAAAAGCTTCAATAACCATGCTCTCTGAGAAAGATAAGGAATCAGAGATCAATCCAAATTAACCTAACATGAAAAATAAGTATTGCTGCCTTCAAAAGAAGTACTCGAGCATTTCCTTTCTCTATAAAAGAATAAATATCATTTTTAGAAAGAGAAGAGCAAAAAGGTACAACCTGGGGAGGATAAGCTACCTGCCGAATGAAAAACAAGAAGAAGAAAAATAGCATCATAGTGCCTTTCAAGTGTAGATAAAGGAATCCCTGTAAAATGATTGTGTGCTTTAAAAGCCCAACAACAGGCAAAATGCACCAAGCAAGACCACCACTTACCACCTTCTACTTCTCCCCAATGAAAAGACTCACAAGCCCATCAAAATAGCCCCTCAACATGGCAACAAATGATCGTTACCCTGCTCAAACCTACTTAAAGAGGTAGAGATAAAAATCTCCAAATTTGGGGGCACAACTAATACACAAACAAGGAGAAAAAACCAATCTAGTCCAAATCCTCCAAGCCATTTCACCATGAAGGAAAAGATGACTCTCATGTTTGGCACTAAGAAATTACAAAAGTTATTGGTGTACGAAGTTTACAAACCAGAAAAAGTTATTGGTGTTAATCCTGCAAAGAACAGTAATCTAAATGAAGACTCTCACCTCTGGCAGCTTTCACTTTCAAAAAGAGGGAGGAAAAAGAAAATTGCATGTCGTTGGGCTATGTGCAGCGAACTCGAGTTACAAGTATTAAGGACTCAGAGAATTGAGGGCTACATTACATAACCAATAAGATGTACTGGAAAGAACTGAGTTTAAGAACACAATCAAAGACATAAAATTTAGTGATTCTATTTAATTTTTCAAAAGATGAGATCTAAGATATTTTTTAAACCATCATCGTTTCAAAAAGGGACGAAAGTCAGGAATTATATCCAGCGAAGAATCTGTAGAGGTGGAAGAATCAAGAAACAACAGGTGCTTTTGCTACCCACTAATCTTTCCAAAAAAATGAGACAATACCAATTCTTGAAACTCACCCGAAATAAAGGATGAAAAAAATCATAGACCTGAGCAATCAATTGCCAGGGTTTTGTTGGTTAATAAATCAATACCCCTCTTCCAATCTCAAGTCACAAATTGCATTCAAACAAGATGATGCCTAGCATCCTTAAGGACCTCAGCCACAATTGACCATAGAAAGTCTCATGATTTTCTCAATCTCTTATCCTAATGAGAAAAGTATTCCTTTCCACTGTTCTAAAATCTTGGAATCTTCCCAGTATGGAATCCCAAAAAAGAAGAATTATGCAGATTACACCCCACAAATAGACAATCATAGGTAAGCTGGAAGACCATTGGAAGATGTTACGACCCAGTATACTGGTTAAATTGCTGATAAATTCTCCCTCATATTGATGGCACCCTATTCATATGGGTCCATAAGCCAAAGATTACCTCAAAATTTATTGGAGAGAAATGACATTATGGAAAATATTCCTACCTTTAGGCAAGAAAAGTTTGCTATAATTTACAAATTGCGACCAAAAAAACCTAACCCCTCTCAATACCCTCAGTAGACATCCTACAAAGAACACCCACGACTAGAGTAAATAAGATAGATAAAAGATTCCCTTAGATTAATCCCATTGACTTTTGAACCAGGCTTTACAGTTTTTATATTACTAAATAGAGTAGAATGATGATTACATCTATAAACCAGGCTTTTCATTTAATCCGCAAGCATTAAATACATGGTGGCGAACTAGGCTTTGCTACTTCTGGCTGTGAGATTCTAGCGGCTACAGCCAGCTATGAAGGCTGACATATGGTGGCGATGGCCGGTCTATAGTCATCGACAGCTAGGGTTGAGGTGGCCGTCAATGAAGGCTGGCCCCCTTTAAGATTTTCTTATTTTGGCATGAAGGCCAAATATAATTTATAAAAGAGTTTAGGATTTCTTAACTTTAACCTCTAATACCAAGTTAAGAATGGTTGATTTTGATTTTATTGAATATCACAGCCTTATTGATACATGTTTTCTACAATAGAAAAGGAAATAACCAATTAATCATATAAATGATTTATTTTATCTTTGTACTCTTTAACCTAATTTACATTAAATATATTGTCTTTAACAAAACTAAATGAAATTAAAAATAAACTAAATGAAAAATGAAGCAAAATAACTAAAAATCCATATATTATAGGAAAAGATACAAGGGCGTGTAAGCTCATAAGATAGAAGCAAGAAAAAAACCTGATGGAGAGAACTGGTGCGAAGTGCCTGGTTAGTATTCCGTTTTGGAAGTGGAGCAACACCAATAGTATCAAGATGCTGCAGCAAGAATAATAAAGTGTTGTTTGATTACAAAATAAAATGAATAAATGTAGAAACAAAAATCAATTGCCGCAGCAACGAGAACATCAATTAAGAGTACCAAATTATTAGATAATGCATGTTGTACCTTAACAAAGAACTGATACTTTTTATTACTCAAGAGATCCATGGTAGGACCACATGTTAACGGATCCAAGCACAACTCATAAAGAAGCTGCAGAAAAAAAAAAAACAATCAAAAACTCCAACACATGTATACGAAAATAAGTGTCGCAGGAGGAAATTCTTTGATTGTTAATGAATATCAAAATAACTACTAAACTAAAATTATTACCTAAAAAAGAAAATAAAAGAAAAGCCACAAGCTTGAATAGCATGTAACCTGGAAACTAAACTCATGAAGCAAAGCATTAACGTCTGGCCTTAAAAGCTTCTCCAAGATTTCCAGAATGACCTTCAAGCAACTGCAAGATTGTTTATATAAATTGCATTATTTACCACAGCAGGATACTCAAAATCTACAAATGACAAGTACCTGAAATTAAATTTTGGTTGTAAAACTGTCCGTTCAACAGGGGAATCAAGATCAAACTTAAGCAGCAAATGTGTAATATTCGGAGCAGGCCGACTAATATTATCAATCAAAAGCTGCACAGAGAAAGAAATAACAATTACAAATCTAGAAATTTGATCTAAGCAGCTAGTTACAAGGCAAGCTAGAACAAACCTGCATAATGAGAATCCCTGGATCATTACCACTGTTCTCAATAGTCTGACACTCTTCTGATCGCAACTCAAGGCATGCTGCATAATCCTCAATCAAACAGCTACTTGCATTTGATTTTAGAAGCAACTGTACAAGCCCAATCATGCGTGAACTGCCACCATCACAAACATGAATCAACTTTAAGCAACAAATATATTAAGAACAAAAAAACTTTCAAGGAACAAATAAAACAAATTAAAACTAAATGGGTGATACCTTAAAATACTCATGATTTTGATAGAGCACTGTTGAATCTGAGGAAGAAAATCATATCTAACGTACTCCAATAAAGCTACAACTTGATTATGATCTTGAGAGAGTATTACATCCAAGGGCTGTGCAGAAAATGAAGTAATGTGAATATCTTACAATCATCTTAGTCAATTGAGCTTAAAAAATTATTTTAACTAGGACCTTAGGCCTACAAGGTTCCTCACTCGCCTCTCACAAAGGAGGTTCAAGCTCAGCTCTTGCCAAGCTGTGACTTATCCTTTTTTAAAAAAACATAAAAAGTGTGCTATGTATTGATGTAAAGGTGCCGAGGAGGCACCGCCCATTTGACTAAAATTCTACAAGTCAATTAGACTATTGACCACAAAACTAAGGTCATCTAAATAGTAAATATTATGCTCCAAAATAGTAGAGCCAAAA